CACACCCCCCATTATAACACTCTCTACCTATTTCTCTAGGTTTTTCTGTACAAAGAAAGTGGCAGATTTGCTGAGGTGGTCACGCTTTTGTTAGTCAATATGTTAGGGGTCAGATGGGTTAGTTTGTGCATTAAGATGGACAGACCAAAACTAGACCAACATTGCACAGTGCTGCTAATGAAAAGGTCTAAACAGTGATAGTAAATGGTTTTGTGAGAGAGAATGAAGGTAAGGGCATTTCATTAAGTACTATAGATTAAAACTACGCCATCAAACACAATTCAAGGCCAATTTATCGAAACTAAACAAGCCATCACATTGAATCCTCATCCATAGGTGATGGTCAGGCAATGGTGGTCCACAAAATTAACCTCTTAAAAGGCTTTGACTAGCCTCATCTGTCTCTCTCTCCCTTTATTTCTCTCCTTTACTCCATCCTGTCCATTCACATGTTCTCACTCTCTTGCTAAGAGTCTCTCATGATTATTAGAAAAATGATGGGGGAGTATGGTGGGCAAGACAAGAGAAAGAGAGAATATGGAAAAGAACAAGGCAGAGGGAGTTTGACTGCTTTCCTCTTTGTGGCGCTTTGATCATGCCGCTGATGAGTGAGACTGGAGTTGTGTGCTTACACTCTGCCACTAATGAGGGAATTAGGGAGCAGAGAAGAACGTCCCCCATACTAACTTCCCCGCTGAAAAAAAATTAAAAGGCAAGCGAGAGTGAATGAGAAAGAAAGGGCAACTAGTCAACTGTCAGGCCCAATCAATCCGTTAGCAGCTTTGCCTTTCGCCTCAAAAATTTAGCGTGCTAGCTCTGCACTAAACATTTGTCCTTGAGTTTTATGCACCAACAATATCTACAGTCTATCAGGACGTGGTGTTAATGGTAACTGTCTTAGGCAAAACACATTACTGAACCAACATAACTTCTATATGGATAGGTTTACCCAAAATGTAAGGCAAATGGCAGAAGACTTTCAGTGAGTAACAAATCAAATTTCAGTTTGTTCCTCATACACATTTCCTGTATGCAAATTTCTTGTCACTGTCTATTATTTGTTACACACACACACGCACACACGCACACACA